ATGTCAAATTCGAACTTGACCGAGATCTTATCAATCTAAAACATCACACCAAGTTTGATAAAAATCAGATGATAACTGTAGTGTCTATAAAGCTACCGATTTTGATGAAACTTGTTGTGATCATTGGAATTGGAATATGCGACTATCATTTTCTGCTTATAGACATGGAGGAATTTCTCTTGAAGGCTCTTATAGTGGGCAGAAACAATCTTGCTTGCTCGATTGCTGGTTGTATTAAATGGAACAATAAAGGGTGCCATGCCTACATTATGGTGAATATATAGTCCTATAGGTCTTGCTGTGTTCAATGTCTCAATCCAATTGGCCTCCCTAGATTGACGGAATTTGGTAGTTTCATCTTCAAGGCAAGTCAATTGGGATTAGGGTGAGATCGTCTATTGAATGGTCGTCGAGGTTGAAATGATTGGAAACAGGCTTGTCTTTCTTTAATTTGATGTCCGACCTATGAGCATTAAAACGAGTTCGTAAAGTATTCTTAGTTTCTCCTTCATATTGTTTGGGGCATTTCTTGCATGAAATTAAATAGATTACATTCGAATGTTTACATATTAGTCACTTAATTTTAACAGAAAAGGTATGTTTTGGGTGAAAGGAGCTCTTGTGCAAGAGTTGATGAGTATCAGTCTCTTTGAAATACACTTTAATGTCCAGTTTATTTGTTTCTGCTATGGAATCTCACTTAAAAACAGTGGTATCGAGAAGGTCTATGCTTTTGTCTCTTACGTTTGTAGTTTGAGGCATATCCCATGTTGCAATGGAAATGAAAAGTGTTTCATATACGGCTTGATTGTGATGCTTTTTGTTGAAATTCTGCCATAGTTATTATTTGTCATATTCAAAAGGATAATTATTCAGTGATTAGCACAATTGTATTAAATAAATGGTACTTTTCTGCACCATCGGTTACATTTGACCTAAAATCAGTGGACCAATGATATATACATGATTATAATGTAGTATGGAAGCCTACTGCGTTCATATTTTCCTCGCTTTTTCTCCTTCCTCGCTATCTCGCATTTTCCTTGCCCTTTTTTTACCCTCGCTTTCTCGCGGGCGAGAAGTCTAGTTTCATCGCTTTCTCGTGGGCGAAAAGCCGAGAATAGATAAGGCTACAGTCGGCTTCCATAATATTATACCGTCTAAAATAATGTATGTCTGTTTTACCCGAAACATCTGCCTTAATTCCATCATTTATTTCAGCCCCTTTACTCTATCTGTCGGCTGGTGTAGGGCATAAAAACTAGGTCTTGTTTTATAGCGATTCTCAGCACCTCTGAAGGTGCGGTTTTTTAAACCTTTATATTTAAATCTGGTCCGCAAAACTCACAAAAACATTTTTCTTTACGAATATATCAATCCCCCCTTCCTACACCATCTGTGATTTCAATCTCTCGTCGCCGGCCTGGTGACTGTTACTGTATTGCCAAATATTTTTATTCAAAATCAAAGCAGCTAGTGGGCGTATATTAACTTGCCTGGCAAGCTATCTTATATCGATGTTGCGTGGAAAACCCAGGCAGTGCCTAGGTTTTCTGACTCTACGTCAGCCAAAGACTGTCAAAATTGCTATTAAAGATAGATGTTTCGGACTATTGAGATATGTACAAAATTGTATCACCTAGTAAATACTGTCAGACCGATATGCATCTACTGTATCACTTTTCAAAACTAAAATCTGACTTCCAATTTGATTTCATACAAAGCAACTAAAACAAAATATTAGCTGACAAAATTTAAACACTGACCTGAATTGCCACCTGTTATTAAATATGTTCTTTCTGGAGATATTTCTACTTCAGGAAATGATATTGATGAACCCATGTTGTCAATCTGTCTAGTACTGAACTCTAATAAACTATTATCCGGTAAAACTATCAAATATTTTGGTAATGCACAATTGATATTACATCAGATAAATCGTTATTATGATTGCAAGTCACATATTAACGTTCTATATATAAACATTAAAAGTAATATCTAGTAAGCAATGAGGTCAATTCACAGTTAACTTCACAATGCAGTTATGCAAGACTAGAACTCTAAACAACACTGAGCGTGGCGAGTCAGGGCTACCTCATACGTCAGTACGTCAGTGAGTTCGTCACTCCGTCAATGAGTTCGCCACTCCGTCAATGAGTTCGTCACTACGTCAGTGAGTTCGCCACTCCGTCACTGGAGTCCATCAATACGTCGATGCTACCTTACAATTTTATAACTTTTGTTTTTAATAAGTTCTTAAACGAAAAACGACATTTGACAGAGTATTTAAATCAAATCGTCTATAGAACATGTCAAAAACTAAAAAAAAAATTTCGTACAAATTGGGGAATATCTAATTTCCATCAGTAAACGAAAATAAGATACAAGCTAATGACTTCGATTTTCGTGTTTTTAAAGCATCGTAACTCGTTTCTATTATTGTATGAACCTATATCAACATTCTTGCAGGATATCATCTCAATTTGCTTATGGGTCGTGCAAGTGAAATATCTTGTATGTAGGCTATACAAATAGGCCAGAATTTTAACAATTCTTGGTATGTTTACGTATAATTTTGTGTACATCGTTTAATATGATTTTTTTATGAACGATTTTTGAGTTAATTGATTTTGATCTATCCAAAATAAACGAATTTGGCATGTGAATACGAACGAGACTGCAGTTGTAACCTGATCTTGATGGACTTTGGCATGTTATGTATATTGTTGAGAAATTTTCGCAATTTTTCTTCGAAATGGATTGGTGATCACTATAGAAAAATATTTCTTCTGCCTTTGTCGAAATTTGGAATGCTATATTGGAAATAACTTCGATCTTCGATTTATGCTCAATTAACGGTTTTTTTAGTTATTGATCTTTGTTTGGCAAAAACAGCGTCAAAGTTTTCCTGGGGACACAGTTATCTCTTCCACCGATTATTGTTTTGACATTAATTTGGTTATAATTTAGTTACCGTAATTATTTACATCTGGTTATTATTAAAGATTTTTTAAACTTTTTATGATTATCAGGGACACTGATTTGCACCATTCTAATTTTCAGATCTGCGTTTCATGCAATTCCACTAAAACGAAGGGGGGGGGGGGGGGGGGGGGGGGGGGCCCTTTTTTTTTCTCCCCCCCCGAA